TGGAGCCAAGGTGCCCATACCCAATGACTTGGGCCTAATAAGGAAGAACCCCCAGTCTAACCTAGAGGAACCCATTCAAGCACAAGAATGAGAAGAAGAGATAGGTGGAACCAATAGTTAATCAATTTAAATTCAGTACCTCCTTCATCGTTTTTGGTCTCAACCAAACCCATTCAAGTCACTCTAACCCAACCCAATCGGTCCCACAAATTAATGGAACCTCTGTACTCAGTCAAGGCCAACCTCAACCCAAACCCAATCTAAAATCCAATTAAGATTGACCCAACCCCAACACAATAGGGTGCACCCTAAAATAGACATCCTTGTGGAGCCAAAATGGCACAAGGATGGAGGACTGTTTTACTCAATTTGGGTTGCAATTGTTGATTAGATTCCTCAATTCCTCAATTAATCAATATCTACCAAGCTCTTGTTAAGATCAGAAAAAAAAATTGTCTTCGGACTTTATTCTCTTCTTTCATTGCTTTTTTATGCATAACATTGCAAATTTTCCTCTCCAAGAAAAATGAATGTGAAATGTCGCACCCTTTGGCTTATCAACTCAGCCTTCAACTTTGTTTGTTTGCAGTGCAGGAACTGACTTTAGAATTCACCTCTCAAAATCTCTCAACTAACTGACCACTCCTTGATTCTAACTTGGACTCAAGAATTCATTTGTTACATCTCAATAGCTTCTTCTCATGATAAGAGCAAAGTCCACTACTTGAACCGTCTTATATGGCACCAATTCCATACATGGCCCAACACAATGTTAACTAAACATATAATATATGTATCTACGGGAAAATCTATGATGCGAAAAAGATATGGTATGGGAAGAGTTTTGATCAATCAAAACTCACTCATAAATTTTGATAAATAACACCTAATTGATCAGAAATTTTTCAGATATCATATCTTTTTCATATCATAGTCGAACCCCTGTATTTACTAACTAACTCTTCTTTTAACCCCTGTTTAGGAGTGCTTATTGATGTAATTCATAATAAGCACTTATGAGTTTTGGTGAAAAAGCACTTTCTTAAAAGGTAGTAGTATGGGTATTTTGAAAATCATGTGGTGGAGGTGGACCAAGACAAATAAAAATGCAATAAACACTTTTTCAAAATAAACCCTTGAAAAAAAAGCCAAATTTTTAATTTATTCAAAATGGACTTATTTTCTGAAAAAAAAAACGCTTATTTGGGCTTATTTCTTACGCATATAATGATGTAAGTGCTTATTGGTGTAGTCCTGGTCTAAAATAAGCACTTTTTTCTACTAATGCTTAAAAATAAGCGCTCCTAAACGAGGGCTTATTTACCTAATTAACCTCCCCCTAATTCATGGGCCCGTAATGGGCACTTAACAGAACCAATATGGGTCGTGGACTTTGTGATATTTTGCACGAAATGACTTTGGAACCAAACTTTGTTGATGATGTGCATAGGGTGTATGCTTGAGAGGTTTAAAGTGTGCATGTACATAGGAACACAATCGGTGATGGGCATAATAGTAATTCTCGTTAATGGAGCGCACCTTCAATATGGGGAGAGACTAGTTGCAATAAGGTTTAAAAACCGACCATTTTGACCACTAGTTTTTGTATCAACGGTTTGATCATTTGAGTTGAACGGTTTGAACGGTTTGACCCTTAGATTGAACTATTATTAGAGTAGAAATATATATTTATATCTCTTCTTTTAAGAGAAAATGGAGAGGTAGGTAGCTGTAGACTGAGTAAACAATAAAGAAAAGAAAGATAGAAAAAAGTAAAGAGAAAAATGAAAGAAAGAAAGAAAGGGGAGAAGGAAAGAAAAAAGGGAAGGAAGGAGGAAGAGGAAGAAGCGATGATATTCACCAGCAATGATGATGGTGGCAACAATGACACTTCTCCCTAGTCTTTTTAGATCTCTCTCTTTCTTTGATCTCAGATCTAAGACCTCTCTCTCTGTCTCTCACACACACACATATATCAAAGTGATTGCAGATCTAAGATGGTGGCAGCAATGACGATGTTTCACAATCATCTACATCGACCTTAATTACTCTCTGTTTGTTTACTGACTGTAGACAAAATAACGATGCTGATCTAATTGAATTGGATTTGTTTTGTTTTTCATATTCATCTAATAAATATCTTGTGCTTAGGGTGCAAATGCAGCGTTCTTTTTTCTTATTTTGGGTATTGCTTGCCTTTTGTCTCTATAGGAGCCATATTTCATTTTTTTTTTTTTTTTACAGAGTACAATAATTTTTCTAGCAACATTGATAACTCTTCTCAAAGGTGATGATAGTCAATACTGGGGTTCCAAATCACATCTCGTTTGGGAATACCCAATTTACATGCCAACCAAACCACCACTTAGGTTGAGTTTGGAAGAAGCACAAATGCAAGCATTTGGCTGTACATATTTGCATTTGTACTCTTTCCAAACTAAGCCTTAGTTGGTGCGTCCTTTTAACTCTATTGGATTGCATTTTCTTTTTCAAAAAAATGTAATTAAATAGATTGAAACAGTTTGATCACATGCATATAAGACCATCTACAGCACCTCTTAAAGGGGTTAGAGCTAGGGATAGAAGGAGGAAAAAGATTTAGGTGTGAAAGTAATAAGAATTGATTTTAAGTGCTTATAATTTGACAATGGATATGTACACTTGTCAAAAAAATGTATGAAAGTATAGAAGGTATGCACAACGGATGTAACCGAAGGGAAGGTGGTGGAGTTGGGGATGTGACCTCCTTCATTCTCTCTAACATCCTTGTCAGCAAGATTAGTGCCAAAAAAGATGCAGTAACCACCATGTAAGCAGCAGCCATCCAGGAAACTATAGCCCAATTAGTATCAGAATAAGCATGTATGTAGCAGCAGTCTAGTGTTCTGTAATGGGAGCATGTAAAAATTGGCATACCTTACTAACTGAGAAGGCTGAGTGATAATGAGACATTGCAGTAACCCAACGATACCGTGATACTGAGAAACATTCTCAAGAGCCTGTTTAAGCCCATATATGGACTTCTTAAAAAGGAAATCGTGATCAAAGAATCCAGGTGGCAACTTCATGAGCACTGTTTCAGAAAGCTCTTCTTGTAAGAAAGTATTTTGAACATTAATAGTGCACGATCTAGAAGCTCCTAGCTAGAAGATGACATGGATCTTAGTTGCGTGGCGAGTTGGACCAAGCTGCAAGATAGAGGATCAAAAAACCCGGGGTGGCTAACCCGGCAAGGTCGCTTTAATGCTTAAGTCAGTATTGTATTATGGATGCGAGCTAAATACTTGAATGCTAGAGTGCTAGTGAACAAATAATAGCGCATACCTAGATCTTGGGGGTTGATGCCCTTATATATCTAGACTGTCGTAGGTCTCGTGAAACATTCCCGAAACTCACGGCCCGCGACGGACGGATCCATTCTGCTTTAGTAGGAGAGTAACGCAACTTATTAATGAGGTTTATTGTTTCCCTCCGATTTAGGCGGGATGAGGATAAGGTTTACGGTTACGCGGCGTGATCCTGAGAAGTCCGGAGACGACTGTTGAGCTTCTAAGTTTGGTTACTCGGTACCTCAGTGCAAGTGGGTACCGAGGTACCCCGGGCTTTGGAGTAACTGAGTGCCTGAGGTCCCCTGCTTTGCTGACATGACTTCATACGCCGATTTGTCACTTGGTTGGCAGGTCCTGTCCACATGTTACTTGCATATTAGATCGGGCCAAATCACCCTTCATCAAACATCAAGATGATTAATCACCTAGTTGTGTGAGGTGGCAATGGCAAGGACTAACCAAATGGTTGATTGTTTAACAACTGGACCAAAGGTTTCAACATGTATTCCCGACCTAGGCATTGGTGAAAACCTTTTCCAATGGTGCCATCGGGGTTTTGTTTAAGACAAGAGGTCATTTACATCCAGCCAAATTCATATCAGCAGGAGGGACTAACTCCCAAGTGCGGTTGCGTAATAGCACATTCATTTCTTGCTGATCTAAGAATAATATGTGAGGTTCTATAACATCAAGTGGATGAGTCATGCACAAAAATAGTTTGGGCTTGAAAATCCCACTTTGACCCTATATGTTTTGATGATAATAATTCATAGGAAAATTTCAGATTAGTACTTGTATTTTGGGCATAGTGTCATTTTAATTTTAGAACTTTAAAATACAACAATTCAGTACCCAAACTTTTAAAACGTAACAATCCAGTACTTACCATTAAATAGCTGTTAACCAGCCATTAATTGACATTTGAAAAAGACACAGACACCCTTCGAGTGTTATTTAATATTTTTATCAACTAACTAAATGTTGACAAAAAATTAACAGTCTCAAGTCCTTGCTTTTCTATTCAAGAAAGTTAGGGTCACTTGAGTGGGCAACGGTGACCCAACTTTCTTGAATAGAAAAGGTAAGGATATTTTTTGTCAATATTTGGGTGGTTGATTGTCAAGTTTTAAAAGTTAGGATATTGAATTATTACATTTTAAAGTTTAGGGACCAATACAGAGTACTAATCGAGAATTTTCCCTAAATAAAAATCTCAAAATACAGAATACTAACAAGTGAATGGCAAAGTGGACGAGATTTACATGATCACAGGATCAAACAAAATCCAATTTGCAATTTGCTCAAGGGATGAGATCTTACAAATAGTTTGAGATTTTTATTTATTTATTTAATTTTTGAACGGGTAAAGAATAGAAGATTAATTATGTCTGATTGGCCTACTTAAATGTGAAAATTTACAATTCTTAATTTAATGGCTTGATTATACTGGCGAGTCAACTCGCCAAGTCAACCCGCTAGAATGATACGAGTAAGGACGCGTTCAAATCTGGTGGTGGCACTAGTGGCCATGTGATGAGAACGCGTCGGCATCGACAATGGCGTGTTGTTTGACTTGACTTGACTTCTCTCGGGATTGTACCATCTCTATCATTAATTTCTTGGAAAGTTGGAAGCTTTCAGTTGATTGGCAATTTGATGTCCATAAATAGATCCATTGAGAGGAGGGAGGCTCAGTGCAACAAACAGAGCAAACAAAAATCCATTGTTCGTTACCCAGTAACCCAACAAACACAATGAAGGTATAGCTATGAGCTAGCTTAGATGTAGAGCTTTAATTAACTTCTGGGTTCTGATCAATTTCAGTTTTGGAAAGTAGAGAGTTCAATAGAAACTGATGATCGATTGTTTGTGCAGCAAAAGGTGGTGATCAAGGTTCCTGTGAATGGCTCAAAATCCCGCATTAAAGCCCTCAAGATAGCAGTTGGAATACAAGGTAAGATGACCCATCTGATCTATTATATAACTTATATGGATTTTGAGACAATAATGGAAGTAAACCCTTCAATATGATCAGCTTGTTTTTCACTGTTGCAGGGGTTGAATCGGCTTCATTGCAAGGTGAAGATAAGAGTCAGATTGTTGTTGAAGGGGAGGGGATTGATTCAATCACCTTGGCAGTGTCTCTGAGGAAGAGTTTGGGGTCTGCGGAGCTGGTTAGCGTTTCTGAAGTGAAGGAGAAAAAGGAGGAGAAAACTAATACTAGCCAATCAACAACAGCAGCCACAGTTCAGCCTGTTGATTGGTTTCTCAGCTATAACCAGGCTGCTTATA